TTAAACAATTTGTTTTCTAAAGGGACTGATACCGTTTTTTCAAGTGTCGCTCTTTCAGTGTCCGATTTACAACGTTACCCTTGAAACTTTTACTGATCAAGAATAAATAAGATGTTTTTGAAAGCCGTACATTTTCATTTTTCATTTTTCTGCAAAAAATATCTGCGCATATTTTGCTTAGGGAACGATATGAAATTTTTTTTAATTAAATAATTTTAAGTTAAAAAAACGACATTATCTTCCACATTATTGAAAATTGTCCCTTTTTAAATGATAATTTCAAAGTATGACAACAGTCGCTTTAAACAGATTGTATTTGATTCCTATAGTTGGGGTTAAATATTTTATCTTGAAAATGGCTTTAATAAGGGATAACTGGGTTAAATAAAGGATAACTGGGTTAAATAAAGGTTAACTGCAGTGAAAAGCATAAAAAGTCCAATAAATGCAATTGCGCGTAAGATTGAACTCTTCTAGGGTTTCAATGACAACTCCTCTTTCTTTTAATTTCATGCTTATATATTTTATGCTTATGAAATAATTATAATGAATTACATTCTTTCATAAGAAAGCTATAAATCAAAATTAAACTTGTATGGTATCGAGTAATGTACAATTTTTTGTTAAAATAGGGGAAATATTGTTGGCTTGGGACTTGTAAAGATTGATTTGAGTTTTCCAGGAGGAAGGGAAGGGAGCACAGACAAAATATTTCTATTCGGGTAAAAGTTTGAGCTCTAGTGGTTAACCTCCATCGAATTAAAGAGGATCTTGCATGAGAGATACCTGAAAACTTTGCAATAATAAAAATACTCTGATGGGAATTACAGAATTGGTAAATATTATACATTGTAAACTAGAAAATACAGAGCTCACGTCAAACTAATGTATACTAGAAAATACTGAGCTCACGTCAAACTAAAGTATTCTAGAAAATACTGAGATCATGTCAAACTAAAGTATGCTAAAAAATACTGAACTCAGGTCAAACTAAATCTTTAATGTTTTCTATTATAATCCTCTTATTGAGGAGTAATTTATCAAAATAAAAATGTTTTAAATTTCTTATATTTCTAAATTTTCATTTCTTATATACAATTGTGCCTAAAATGAAATCTAGATGAGCTACAAGGTGACAGCAACCTTCTGTCTTGTATAGTGTAAGCTATAATACAGAGATGTGGTTGGGATAGTGAAATTTTTTCTTTTTCTATTTGGATAATTTAATTGAGAGATCAGAGTGATTTCCCAACTTTTATCCAAATAGTACGGTATGGCTAGTTGGTGGGCTGGCACGGATTTTTCGAAAATTTGGTTCACAACGTACATTTTTACAGTGTTTCGTGCCAGATCTGTTTAATTTATTACTTTTCAATAGTTAGTTCTCTTTTTATAATACAGTCCTATTCAGTCCTGTGTATAAAATGTAAACAGTAAACAATAAAAAGAATACCTATAGATTGTACAAGGCAGGGATTGCGTGTACAATATTATATTTAATTATATATTTAGTACTGGTCAAGAATCAAGTATAGTCAAGGTCAAATGTCATTTCAGATATTCTTATCTTTTATTAGTTAAGTTCACCAATATTAGGAGTAAACAAATCTAATATTTTCCTAAATTATAGTATAATTCGATATAGCTACTTAAAAAAAATATATTTGTCTTTGCAGAAATCAAGTGCTATTTAAAAAATTCTCTTTTAAGGATGAAAATGGAATTGAGTTTTTACCACAAGCTCAAATTTTCAAATCCCTACATCTTTGTTACCTGATGATGTAAACCTTTGATATTTCAAACTAAAAGTATTTGATCTAACATGATTTATAGTTTGAAATATCTAAGGTCTACGGCATTGGGTTTTAAAGATATAGGGATTACAATATCAGAGTTTGTGGCCAAGACTCATTTCCTTTGTATTTGAAATATGAAAATTCTCATCTCAAGGATGAAAATTTGCATTTAAAATAGGAAAATTCTCTGCAGTGTTGCGTATGGATTTAAAACATTCTTATACTGTAAGTAAAAACCCCGAAAGAACAAACTCGTAAAGAACAAAACTGTGAAAGAACAAACTCGTAAAGAACAAACTCGTAAAGAACAAAAGCGTGAAACAACAAACTAACAAAAGAACAAAACTGTGAAAGAACAAACTTAAAGAACAAAACTGTTAAAGAACAAACTCGTAAATAACAAAACTGTGAAACAACACACTCGTAAAGAACAAAACTGTGAAAGAACAAACTCTTAAAGAACAAAACTGTTAAAGAACAAACTCGTAAATAACAAAACTGTTAAAGAACAAACTCGTAAATAACAAAACTGTGAAAGAACAAACTCGTAAAGAACAAAACCATGAAAGAACAAACTACCAAAAGAACTAACCCCCAAATAAAGAAAAAACTGGCAGAAAAAACCACTGAAAAAACCGAAAGAACAAATTCTTGAAAGGACAAATTCCTAAAAGGGCAATCCCAGAAAGAATAAAACCTAAAGAATAAACTACAGAAATGACAAATTCCTAAAATAAGAACTCCAGAAACAACACACCTCTCAAAGAATAACTCTTGAAAGAACAAACTCCTAAAAAAGGCTCCGGGGAGAGAAACCTCCCAAAAAAACTGCTGATATGGAAAATTTTCAAAGGAAGAAATCCAAAAGAAAAAAGATCTGAAAGGAAAAACCCTTGAAAGAACAAACTATTTCTTTTCTTTCTATTCTAAAACATTCGTTGGAAACTGAAAACACGTATGGCGCATAAAAACTAGATTGGAAAATATTAAAGTTTTGCATTAAAAACCCCATTTTTAAAGTTCACTGGTGTAAATAATAATTATGAAACATTTAGATTTTAAATGACGATATTCAAACTTATTTTTATTCAACACTTTTAAATATCGTGCTTCAGCTTCTTTTGTATAAATTGTGTAAACAAAACTTTTGAGAAATCACGAAACAGAAACATAAAGAAAAGGAAAACTTCCATTTCTGGTAACAATATCGTAAAGGAACCAGAAAACAGAGAAATTATTGACGTCGTCTTTGTTTCTTACAAAAGTTTTAACAGATTTCTTTAGATGTGTCCAGAGACCGGAGTTTTTAAGTGGATATTGTTAATCTTGAACGCTAATTATTTCTATATCCAATGTTGGCACTCTTAAATTTGAGATTATTTCTTGATCAGATAATTAATGTCCCTGTTGGGTAAAACCATCACAGGTATTCAGAAAGGAATTTAAAGGGAGTGTTCGCGAAAAATGAAAGGGGGTATAGGCTTAATGCGATAAAAAAGCGCTTTTGATCGCCACTAATTTTACTTCTCTCTGTTGCGTCTATAAGAAGAAAATTGTTAAAGACGTCTCATACCGAATAACTTAGCGTCCATACAAATTCAGAAAATTGCAACTTATGACTTATACTGTAAAAAAATCAATTTAATTTCAAACAACTCATTCAGATATTACAACTCGATTATCTTTCGCCACATTTGTATATAGTTTATATTTTATAATATTTATTTTTTAGAAAACGTTTTAACGGATTTCGAAAAGTGTGAGTGGTGCGCGGCATTCTTAGATAGTTGCGCAAGCAACAAGAGAAATAATCAAATTCAAAACAAATTAACTAAAAAATATTATAAATTATAAACTATATACAAATGTGGCGAAAGATAATCGATGACTATAGGTTGTAATATCTGAATGATTTGTTTGAAATTGAATTGATTTTTTACGGTCTAAGTTGTATGTTGCAATTTTCTCAATTTGTATGGGCGCTAAGTTATTCGGTATGAGACGTCTTTAACAATTTTCTCCTTATAGACGCAACAGATAGAAGTAAGATTAGTAGCGATCAAAAGCGCTTTTTTATCGGATTAAGTCTATACCCTCTTTCATTTTTCGCGAACACTCCCTTTAAATAATCCGTAAATCAATCTCGAGATTCACAAATTGACATTTGGAGTTCAAATACCTTTAGGCTCATCTATGGTCAAGAAGGGGCCTCGGAATAAAATTAAAACACCAAAAAATCCCGTGCCCAATTAGCTAGCCTTCTTCTTAACTACAGTGGCCACGGCCGGGGTACTAAGTCAACAAATAGGAATAGCAAAGAGCTGATATCTCTAATACTAATCTGGTTTTATATCCACTCTACTTAGCGATCAGAGCCCTTTCTGGAAGGGCTCTGTTCCTGCTCCATGAGCAGAGCTGAAAAAAGGAGACAACTCCGCATTCTACAATCTACATGCAGCGGAGCACACTAAATGTGATACTTCATAAGGAATTCCGCTTGACTGGGAAACAGTATAACATGTGGACAAATTGAACGATTTTAACGAAACATTCCTAATACGCCACTCCTACAAACCCTTAATTATCCCTATCTCCACTCTCCTCTTCCTACCATCTAACCTTCGCACAAGCAGCAAAATGAGACTCTAGTACATTTCTCTGTTGGATCATACAACAAAATTCCCTCTGAGTGGGTCACTTGTTATCCTTCGTTTCCTTCGTTGAATAGCAACCATTCTTTTCAGGAAAGTAAAAATGTGCGGTTCATAGCAGGGAAACTATTGCTTCCTCGCCTCGTACCATTTTATTTTTAAAAAATTTTAAAAACATTGTTAAAAATACAAGAGATACAGAAATATGAATTATTTTTCATTCCATTAAAATTAACCGATCGGGCTCAAACTTTTTGTGGGACCTCACGTAACTCCAGGTAAGGTTTATGGATGATCGAATTTTCAAAAAATTTCCACTAACAACATTCGTAAATATTTAGAAAATCCGGGAATACAAAGAGAAAATGCTCATAATTTAAATAGAAGATGGGCGCGAAGCGCTCTAAAAGCCAAGTTTTGTACATTTAAAAACAAGAACGACTAAATATTTAAAAAAAAATTCTTTGGAATACTTCTTAGTCCTGAGTTTTGTTGTTTTTTGTGAGCAAACATCTAAGAAACAGACAAGACATATATTCCTGAAAATTCTTACTGTCTTTTGGTTGGTGAATACTCTTTCTTCTTTTCTCCATCTTGACAACTGTAAGATTGTTGACCTTGTTAAATATATCCTGGACCATAAACAGAATATTGGAAACTTTAAACATAAAATTTTCTAAAATAAAATATTTTCAACAGCGGTAGAAAGACATCAGAGATAAATTTCGGATATGTTTTCAAAACGTAAGAATTTTAAATATTAATAAAAAATCTGTTTTCTTATTTCTTCGGATTTGTTGTAATAAGAAATACTCATTATGTTCCCGCTTTACTTCCGGCTCTGTTTTTGATTTATAAGATAAGCCTATGATAGGAAAGGAAACAGATTGGACAAGTTTTAGAAAGCAATTTTGCAGATTTAGTTTTTTTCTGACCTATAGCACGCCAGTTAAAAAAAAATGTTTCGCTTATTTAAAAAAAGTTTAAAATTTAATCATGTTTTTTTAAGAGCATTTTTAACTTTTAAACTGGATTTTGCAAAAAAAAATTTGAATTTTGCAAATATTGTAAATATTCATATTGTTTAAGGGACATCATTAGTTTATCATTTTCTGTCAACCCAATTATTTACTTAAATGTGGGCTTTGAGCATTTTATAAATCTGGTAAACATTTTATAAATCTGGTAAACATTTTATAAATCTGGTAAACATTTTATAAATCTGGTAAACATTTTGATCTAGAATTCAAACTTTTTTCAATCTCAAAAAAATTGTGTTGACAAAATTAAGAAAATTTTTTGTTTCATTTCATTCTTTTCATTCCTTGGCGTTTTTGAGTCCACCGGTCTCTTGTTCCTCTCTACTAACCTAAAATATATTATCGATAAATAACACTCTATAAAGATATTTTGAGTCCACGGGTCTCTTGTTCCTCTCTACTAACCTAAAATATATTGTTGATAAATAACATTCTATAAAGATATTTACTACACTAGCTAAAGTGTCCGGCGTTGTTCGTTGAATTTTTAAAAATCATAATTCGATTTAAAAAGATTTTACTTTAAAAAAAACGTTTATTTCTTAGCCTACGTTACCCCCTGGGTACCTAAGGGTTCCCTCAAAAATTTCAGCCAATTGGTCCAGCCTTTTTGCCATTGCGTTTCAACTGATATGTATATATGAGTGAAGAGCTTTATTGAACGAATATTTTAAAATTAAAAAATAGACAATATTTTTTGTAAAAGCCTAAAGTGTAAATTTTAATATTTTAAGAAGAGAAACTGTAATGAATACCTAAAGGTAAGAGAGAAAAACAAAAATAAAAAAAAATTAAATTAAAGTAACCAATGCTGCTCTATAGAATTGTAGAATTTGCCCAAAGTTGTAAATGAAAAAGGTTTTATAAAATATAAAAAGAACATGCATAAAGGTCTTCGTATTTAAATATATATGTATAAATGTGAATCGATATATACATATATATATATATATATCCAACAATAATATGTCTTAATGTCTTAATAAACAATAGAAAATGTTCTAAACTTATTTTAAGAAGATATATATTTACAAATATATGTTTGGTACAGCTGGACCTGATTGTCGGACATTTTTAGAGGGAACCCGGGAGTACCCCGGGGGTTTCATAGGCTTAAAAATTGTATGTTTATTTTTTTTATTTATTTTCACGTGTTTTTAAACCTAGACAATTTGGCTAGTTCTGCATATAAAGATATGAATACAAATGTTTACTTGAATATATATGTATAGTTCTGGTTTAGTTGAAGTTTGTGGCTAAACTGGAATATAATAAACTTGAAAAATAATAATTAGAGAAAAAGACTGCAGCAGCCTGGTTGTAAACCGTCTAAATTTTATTAAATATGCGACAAGCCGGGGAGAGAACAAAACAACTTTTTCAAGAACTTGGAAACTTTACAAATTAAGTTAATCTTAAAATATGTTTTTAAAATTAATCATATTTAGTTTTTATACCTCTGATTCAAAAACTAATCTACTCCGACTTTGTTGTCAATATAAAAAGAATTTATAATATAATAGCAGAATTTCAGACCAACCTTCAAACCTCCTCCTCCCCCTTCTTCAA